GCCCCTGCCCCGGGAGGAAGGACGTCGTCGGGGGCCGGAGCAAACGCCGAGCGACCCCTGCACACGGAGGGCAGGGGCGCCGGCGGCTGGCGGTCCTTTGCGGCCAGACCCCTCCGCGCCGGCCGCCGTCCCGCAGCCTCGCGGACCTGGGGGCCTGCGGTGCCGGAGCCTTTCGCTGCCGGCCTGGGGCCTGACCGCGAGCACTGCGAGAAAGTCCCTGAGGGCAGAACCCAACTTGAAAGGGTGTTTTCTTTGCCTCTGCGGCGCAGCAGGGTGCTGCGAAGGTGGGGTGGGAGGAACCTGTCTAAAAATAGAGGATTGTGAAAACCGGTCTAGTGCGTGTCATTGGGAAAAATTACCCAGAATAAGGTGGGACTGCAAGTGAGGAGCAGCGAGCACCCTCCCCTCCCGTGGGGTTTACAGCCATTCAGAGTAGGGTAGGAGACCCCCATCCGAAGTTAAAACGCCCTAAGTAAGGCCTTTCAACTGAGGAGTTCAGGGCACTCTGCAGAACTCTTGTATCACCCAGAGACTTGTTGATCCAACTGTCCTTAAATCATTTGGCTAATACAGTTTGGAGGAGAGGTTAGTAAATAGTTAAATATTCCCTATTAACCTCTGACGGACTGAAAATAATTCAGAAAACTTTAGAAAGGGGGAACTGTGTAGTCAGCCCTCTGGAGAAGTGCGCATCCTGGAGGTATGTTAAGGTTTGTGGTTCTGCATTAGGCCCTCCTCTTTATAGCTAGGTAGAAATGAAAGTGAAAAAAAAAAAAAAAAAATGGAGCCCAAAGTCAAATATGACCACTGGTTGCTTGACTGGAGTAGAGGAGTCACCACCTAAATATTACAGCCAAGGCTGCCTCCTTCATCTGGATGATCATCTCTGTTTAGGTGAGGAGGAGACAAAGTCTTAGTGCAGGCTCTATGCTAAACACGTTGTTTTAATCACCTGCGATTTCGGGGGTTGGGTGGGAGTTGCTGTTTTTAATCCCCATTTTAGACAAACCTGAGGCTTAGAGAGTAGAAGCTTGCCCAAGGATACTCAGGGAGAGAATGATGCAAACCCAAGTATGTCTGTGACCAATGTACAACCTTTAACCTGTCAATATCGTGCGGATCCCCTTGCCCCTTGTGCTCTGGATTGCTGATGGGTCATTTTGAATTGCAAATTCAACCCTCAAAAAGTATTAGAGGCTAGGTTCCAGTTTTTCTCTTTCTCTTGTCTCCCAATTAAGTAACCTTCTCAAAGAAGTCTGGGTTATCAAAAAATTCCAGCCCAGATTCAATCCAGCTAACCAGGTCCCTCTGTATAAAACAGTTTCATAATTAATGTTTCAGTTAATTGTGACCCCAGAAAATGGTAGACCACAGCAGCCCTCCCTTTTCCCCTTTAGTGATTTATTTTTGTTAGTGTCACCATTTAACTTCTTTTAAAAATCTCCTTTTTATTTTTGCTTTTGTTCCCTCTCCCCATAGTCATTTGCAAGTACTACTGGACCTACTTTTAGAATATATCCCAGTCTGACTACTTCTTACCTCCTAGGAATACCTGCTGTATTCCTAGTTCAAGTGAATATTTAACAAATGATGGCGCCAATAAGTAAGATGAGTAAGTCTAGGGAAAAAGCATCATCAGAGGTTAAATTAAGAATTCCCCTGAATTTTATATCCACTTGGACGTCTAAGTGGAGTTCTTAACTATATCGATGAATGGAGCCT